CCTAGACTGAGTCCAAATCTCTCAGTTTTTTGCAAACATTTAAGTAGTGAATCAGCAAATGAGACCTTTGCCTTTGTGTGTGCACCTCTGTCTTCCTCTCTTCCTTTCTCTTTCTCTCTCTCCCCATTCAGATAAAAAAATAAATATTATTCTAAATAAATATAATTGGGGCCTGGTGCAGTAGTCTAGTGGCTAAAATCCTCGCCTTGCGTTAGCCAGGATCTCATGTGGGCAGCAGTTCTTGTTTTGGCTGCTCCACTTCCCATCCAGCTCCCTGCTTGTGGCCTGAGAAAGTAGTCGAGGATGGCCCAAAGCCTTGGGACTTTGCACCTGCATGGGAGATCCAGAAGAAGCTCTTGGTTCCTGGTTCCTGGTTCCTGGTTCCTGGTTCCTGGTTCCTGGTTCCTGGTTCCTGGCTTCGAATCTGCTCAGCTCTGGCTGTTGCAGCCACTTGGGGAGTGGCCTTACTTTTAAAACATAGCATTATATACTCTTAAATCTTATTCATCTTATTTATTCAGGAGGGAAGAGAGAGAGACGGAGAGAGAGAGAGAAAGAGAGAGAGAGAGAGAGAAAGAGATATTTTCCACCTTCTTCAACTGGCTGAGGCAGCTGGGTCTGTGCCAGGTTGGAACTCCACCTGGGTCTCCCAGATGGGTGGCAGAGGCTCAAGAACTTAGGCCATTTTCTGCTGCTTTTCCACAGTACCTTAGTAGGGGCTGGATTGGAAGCACTCCAACCAGCACCTATATGGGACACAGAGGCTTCCTTGCTGTGTCACAACACCGGTGTCAATATTCATATACTTTCAGAATAGTTTTTTTTTTTCCTGGAAGGAAACTGTGGAATTTCACAGTGGAAAGAGGGAGGAATAAAAAGGAAAATTGCCACCAAAGATTGGGATTCCTATGAACAAAAAATACCTTGTTATACATATTGCATTGCTGGGTGATGTCTCATAATGGAGAGAAAATAATGAAAATGGTAGGGACAGGAAAGTTTATTAAGTGCATGAGAATTATTGCCAAATTAGAGCACACGAAGTGGCAAAATACAAAAAGACAAATTTAACTTAAGTAGACAGGCTTCGTTTGCATTGTCTGGATAGCTGCAGAAACAGTACTTGATTACAGATGGTGATTGGTATGAACATTTTGGTATAGGTAGTTTAAATTGTTTAGTTCTGGTTGTTACCCAAGAAACTAAATATTTCTTATTTGATTCCATAGCAATTTACTATTGTAACATTATGAGACGTGTATGAAAGTGTAAGTTTATCTTTACTTTGTAGAATACTTTGTAGAAGGAAGTCGTTGATCTTTAAAAATAGTCACCAAACATAAAAATATTTTTTTCTAGAATGATATGTGGACTGTCAGTATCACTATGATGTCATTTTGCCTAAGATCATAACATGATTGAGAATCGAAATCATGTCACAGGGGGAAATCCCCCTTTTGTACTTTCTCAGGAATTATTTAACAGCAACAACTGGGAATTTCCTCAGTATAGACATGGGTGTGCAATCTTAGTTTATTTATAGTAACAATAATGTATTCTGAGTGATATCTTTATTAATTACTCCAAGAGTAAAAACCTGAACAAAGACCTATCTCGTGCTGAAAGACACCAAACAACATACAGTGTTTTAGAAATTGTAGCAGATTGTCAATGTGAAGCTTGTTCCATGGCAATCATATAATTTCATTTGTCTCAATCATAAATTGACCCAAGAGAATGGACATTTGTGGTTACTGAACTGCTCTATTTTTTACATAATAGAAAACGAGAATGAAATCTGCCTGGTGACAGGTGGAAAGCAAGAAATCGCTTATACTTATCAAGTCACCAAATAGTTTTCATCAGAGAAGATTATTGAATATAGTGAAAATAATAAAAAAATGAGTTCTCTGTAGGTTAATTAACACTTGACAATTTGCCTAAGGCTTTTAGATACTGACATTGCTTGTATATATAATCAGTATTATCTAGGTACTTAAAAAATAAAATATACAATTAAAATTCTACTAGCCAAATAAAACTGATTATTTACAATTCACTTGTAACAGAAACTCAGCTTTCTCCTTCAAAATTTGCATATAGAACTACTCAAAGCAAAAATCTAACAGATTGAGAACAGATGGTTGGCTACCACATTTTTGAAAGACTGGTCGTCTACAAGTTGACCAAGCCTATCTACTTAAAGTAGTTAGGGCTAAATAATGAAAAATGCAATTAAAAACATGTAAAAATGTTTGCTCCTGGAAGACTGAACATTTGCATGAATTCTTCCAGTTTCTGGAAGAAACCCTAAGTCATTTAGAGAATAAGCAACACTACATAACAATGGGAAGGGAGGCAGTTCATTAGAACTAAACTGGACAGAAAATGCAATTTGATGAATAAAAGAATAAATATTGATAAAAATGCTTGATTCAAGTATAACTAATATTTTGAAATGATGCTTTCAAATATTAAAATTGTTGCCATAAAATGTCTTCGTGTATTGTTGAGGGAAAATAGGAAGGAAAAGCCTTAGATGCTTCTCCATTCTTTTGCTGTTTCTAGAGTAGAACAGCCACCAATACATCGTAGAAATAACGGGGTGGGAGTTGCATTGGATTGCTGCCAAAAGTCACTGAATTTCAGTGCTGAAAGAAAGAAAACAGAAGTACAATTCAGTTAGAAAACATAATTTTAACTTCTATGAAAAAAGGGAACTATCACATTGGTTGAATACATTACACCTGAAAAAAAATATTTGATCATCCTTCACACAAATGAAATATCTTGCGTGTATTTAAAATATATGTTCAAGTGGTTAAGCGAATGGCCTTTGGAGACAGATCTGGAGATAGCTCTGTGCCTGCTAGTTATGTGCTAGTTACCTGCTTGTCTAAGATCTCTGTCCAGTGTCTGTCTTATAAAGATGGAATTTACTGAAAGAAAATGGATAAGAGACTTAGAAGGCATACTCATCTCAAACTAAGTATATAAGAAGTGTTAACTGTAATCGTGTAAGGATTTCTATGGTTACATTTTAATCTTTTCTATAGGCACAAAGTTTATTACATGGTACTTTCAAGACATTAGCTCTTTTAAGTCAGTTTGCCTTTTACTGATTTTCCTGGGTTTAATTGGAATAGGGCAATCCCTTAGGGAAAGTGATCAATGAGTTATTACTGATACTGGACAAAGCAAAGAGAATTTTTTTCAAGGACCACTTTGTGAGTCTGAGTTTACTTAGAGGTAGACCTGAATCTACTTCTTTGTTGATCACAGCTTCACATACTATTTTGAGTTTTACATGTGGAAATTCTCTGGCCATCTCCAGGGTAGATTTCCAGGGCAGGATACTTTAAACTAGAGATTGGCAAACCGAATGCCCTAGAAATTTAGATTTGTTTGTTTAACCGTGGCTGGCCCTGGGGAAATTTAGGATTTCTAGGCTAACCCACACTTTCAGTCTTTATGCCAGCTTCTTAGCTTGATTTCTTATCTTTCTGGTTTTTAATGTGAGTCATTTTTCTCAAAGTTTTACAATTTGAAAAGGGTTATGTTAGAGGTGGAATAAAATCTGTCTTCACATTTGACTTCTGAAATAAGTGTCTCTGTGAATGGCTATCACCTTTCCATATCTTTTCAGTAAAGAACGATTTAAAAATGATTTAACATGGGCAGTTTAACATTTTGTTTCTCATTTAATGTACAGTTTTCTCTCTACCTCACCCTCTTACTGCCTACTCCAAGTTACTGGAAAATATATAAATATTTTATTATTAAATGAACGGATAGAAAGAAGATTTAGGGGGCAGAACCCATTTTGGTGAATTTGAAGGTGTATTACAAAGCTATTAATGAAGACTTGGAGATTTTTGAACAGGAGGTTGAGAATTTGAAAAGAATCATGAGTACAATTAAACAGCTAAAACTTTCTTGAGCATTGAAAATTACTTTAATACCCTAACCATGAAGGGACAGAAGATGGAACAAGTTAATCAACCACCTCAGCTATAGGTTGGCAACAAAATACCGGGCAAATAGAGACGCTATGATGGACAATGTCAATTAATGGATTTTTCAACAACCTCATCGTGTTTGGAGAGGCAAGATTGGCAGCAATTTCAAAACTGGTGACCTATTGAAACCACTTCAACGAGTATCTCAGAGCATGCCCCACATGCGGGACTTGGGGTGGGTGGGAAATCAGGTGGGGCTTCTCCCTCAATATCCCCCTTTACCTCAGATATATGAAGGAAACAATATGGAAATAATAGTCTTACCCACTTTCCTGTAGCCCTTGACCCTTTATGCACAAATAAGCCATGTAAAGATTGTTAAAAAAAAAAAAGAAAAAAAAGAAAATTACTTTAATACAATTCTAGTGTTACAAAGGCTACAAGGATATTAATTATTTTTCTTAAAAAAATTTTTATTTTCATCTTATGATACAGTTCCATAGGCCCTGGGATTTGTGACCCCCTCCTTGACACTCCTCCCTCACTGAGTTCCCTCATATCGTTACAACAATATAGTTTCCCATAAACAGTCATACATCCGTCATTGCAAGCATGGACAATGGCAGAGAGTCCAGCATCCCATTCAATCTTAACACTTGGCTGTTATGATTAGAATCTTTTTTTTTTTTTAACTTTCAACTCTTACATAATACCAGACATCTCTATTACGAAGCAACTTTTTACATGAGGTGGTTCCAGAAGACAGATGAAACAACATTAAAGATGTTAAAGTAGGATGGTACTTCTCAGCACACAAAAGGACACAGAAATTGTCACATTTATTTTGAAAACTAAGAATTTGGTAGTCTTGGAAATGTTACTGTATAAATTCTGGGGAAATAGAGTGTTTTCATATTCTAAAAGAGAATGGGAACACCTTGAATAATAGAAATCATGGTTTAATCTTCTTAAAACAGTATGTGATCACTTTTATAGAGTTAAGTGAAAGTATTATTCTCACACTCTTTTTCTTCTCTTTAGAATTATTGCCTGTGCCATGAGCATGAAACGTTATGTGGAAGCTAACATTTCTCAGAAGTCCCATACTACTATCAAATACTTTATGAAGATGTGGAGCAGTGTTAGTGATACTCTTATATTCATCTTCCTTGGTGTTTCTACCATTGGAAATAACCATGAATGGAATTGGCCTTACATTTGTTCCACTATCATTTTTTGTCTTATTTGGAGAGCACTAGGTATGATGAATATTATTGCTGATGTGAAAATATACCAAGTGAACTTGGGAGCATATTAGAAGCAAGAGATTTATAATTCCAATATTCTTTATTTGCTTTACCTATAGGCAGAATATTGTGTATCTCCATTTGTGTATGAAGTTTTTTTAAGAACAAGGTGAAGAGATGGGTTCTGGAACCAAACTACCAGATTCAAATTCTAACTTTAGTTCTGCTCTGGGAAATTTATTTAATCATGCATACCTTAATTTCCTCAACTGTAAAATTGCAGTAGTATAACTATTACTTCTAAGTTTTTTAAAATAAATGATTACCTGAGATGATGCAAATCAAAAGCTTAACGTAGGACCCAGCACATTGTGAGTATCCAATGAATGTTCATTTTTACTACTTCTGTTATTGTGGCTTGGGATGCATCTGTTGCTACTTCTATAACTACTAATGTTTTCATAATACAGTGCCATGAAACAATTGTACTAATGCCCCCAGTCATTGTTAATATCTAATGCTACTATTGCCAGGCTGAAAGCTGAGTGCTTTTTCTTAGTGTTTATATCTCCCTGTCTCACTCTGACTCAGTTAAGGAGGCGTAAAAGTCCCTATTTCCTTCAACACTGTTGTTCCAACCTCCCATCTAAACATACCCATGTGTGTACCTTATTGCTATCTGCATCAGTGCTATTAAAGGACTCACTGTGTCTTGGGGAATGCTGACTCCAGCAGAAAACTACATACCATCTGTGTCTTTCCCCCAAGTTCTGGCAGAGGCTGAGTGACATCTGGTGCCCCCAAGCCATGCCTGCTATATGACTTTACTGTTGGCTTTAGCTAGATGCTCTTCTTAGTCCAACCCTTAAAAACAAAACAAAACAGAATAAAACAAAACAAAACAAAATCCCATCCCATTTTTACTGGAGTAAAATACATATGTGTGCACATTTTCAACATGAAAATGTCACACCTTCATTGTTGGTTAAACTGAGTTCTTTAATTTTGCAGTCTGCATAGAAATTCAGCTTACAGCTTTTGCATCTTGACATTTATATCCTTACTTCTTTCCTCCTCAACAAATGAACAGAATCACTGTAGAATATTCTTTGGAGACTGCAAAACTTGCTCTAGAATGCTGAGAGGCACATTAGGAAAATTGCTTAGGGTTTTAAGGATGAATAATAAGGCAGGCCAGGGTATGCTTTATTATCCATTAAAATGTGTTTAGGTTGTCCATTAACAGTGAAACCACCAGCTGAATGTCATGCAGGTTCATAGAAGGCTATTTCTAGCTAATTCTGAGCCCTTTGGAAAAATCACTAGGGTTGTAAAGTGTTCTTTTTTTGCCCAAACATCTTTTAAAATAAAATTGGACAAAAAAATCACTTTTGGCCCATATGGTCTGAAAAATAGCTGACAGATAAGAAAAAAATGTCAGGGATAATTGAAAAGGTTTTTCTACAAAATGTTAACATCTAGCAAGAGCAAGCATTACAGATAAAGGCCAGCGTTTCTATACATTTGTATGTATAGTTTTGATTGAAAATTTAATGACAAAATGGATCCTGTTGGCAATATCGTTTTATATCTAGAGTAAAATGTGTAGATAATTACTGACTCTGATATGAGGAGAGTAAAAGAAGACACCTCTGTCATAATATAGGCAACCAGATGTCTTCAATTATATAAACCTGTTGCAACTTGGCTTAGTGCTGTGCTTATGTATACAGGGGATAAGTAAGCTGACCACAGACTACTAGGATGTTGTGTCTTTTTTTTTCCAGTTTTGATATTAGATCGTTTAAGGGATATTCTTTTGCAGTTCTATTAGATTAGAGTGTTTCAGTAGTTTGTGCATCAGAGTATCCTAATTTATTCCGGTTTGATTATTTACATGGGCTCTATAAAAAACAAAACTGAAAAGTCAGAAATCTATCAATATTTGATGAACTGAAGCAACCTGAGTTGGAAAAATGCAGTTGAATGGAACGTGTGCTAGACGATCAAAATGAATATACTGCCACTTACTTTGAGTTTGGGTTACTTCAATACTGCTAAGAATGATTGATGATGATATTGTGCATGCTTCAATTTTGTTAGGACAATTTAGATGGCCAACACTAAGGCATTTGCTAAGACAAACAATTTGAAAAAGTATAATATCAACATATATGTTGACTTGGAAAGTTTTGTCCCAAAGTGTCACCAATTGCTTCTCTGGATGGATGGAATTTTGGGCATTATGTCCAACCTTTGCATGTTTGTATTTCGCTTCAACAGTTTTATAGCAGTGAAGAAGATAACTGAAAAAGCTAAAGAGATAATTTTAAAATGAAAACTTTGGAGTGATTTGGGCATTTACTTGATTTGATTTTGCATGTTCCAGTAGTTTTCCTATGTTTAAATGTTCTGATCTTATGTATGACATTTGAATTGAATTATGCTCTCTTCAACAATAGATAACAATAGAATTCTTATGGGTCTAAGCAAGGAAATTGTACTGCTATCATTCTAAAAAAAGTAAAACAATCAAAAGTAAAACCCCAAGCATAACCAAATAAACCACAATTACTTAAAGAAAATGCTCTGAAAGTAAGTTTATGAAAAAAGGTTTAATGTCTTAATTAGTTTAGATTTATCACAAATCCTTTAAATTTCATTCCAGTTTAGCACCAATTTATTGTAACACACTTGTAAAAATTTTTCCCTGATGATTAATTACTCAACTCTCTCTTGTTGCAAAATTTAGGAGTTCTTGTGTTGACTTTCTTCGTGAACAAGTTTCATGTGAATACAGTCACCAGAAAGGACCAGTTTATTATAGCCTATGGGGGCCTTAGAGGAGCAATCTGTTTTTCCCTTGTTTTTCTGCTCCCAGAATTTTCCAGAAAGAAGCTCTTCATTGCAGCAACCACAGTTGTTATTCTCTTTACTGTTTTTGTACAGGTAAAACAAATTATTAAAATGGTACCATTTGAAATTTCCACTTGAAACAATATGGGCCAATATTTCTTTAAAATCTTGAAATTAGGTAGTTCAGGTTTAAGAGAGAAAATTTAAGTATGAGAAACACTATAATGTAACTCAAATCAGACTCTTAAAAAAAGCAGAGCGGATTTATTTTCAAGTCAACAGGGGAATGGGTGGAATGCTTTTTTTTCAAGTGCCTGATGCCAAATTCTTTACATTAAAAAGTGCATTTTTAGCTGCTTACAAAGGTAAAGTGGTGGCTGAGAACATAATGGAATGTAAATAAAGTGCTGTAAGATTTTAGTTGCAAGGTACTTTTTATCTTGAATTATCTGCTTGGTTTGTGTAAGTTGCCATTTATTTCAAATGGCCTATTCTCCACACTTTACTTTTGAAAAGTTAGTCAGAAGAATCTTTGAAAATATGTCCATAAATATATTCAGTAACTGAGTGACATAGTTTTTAAAACATATTTTATAACTTTTAAAATTTTACTTCTTTTTATTATTATCATTTTATGATACAGTTCCATAGATCGTGGGATTTCCCTTATCCCCTCCCCAATTCCCTCCCCTACAGTCTCACTGAGTTCCCCTATATCATTACTAAGGTATAGTTCTTCATACTGTCATATGTCCATCATTATGACCATGAGCAATGACAGAGAGACCAGCATCCTATTGTCAAGATATAGTGAACAGTTTCATTGTAAGTCCATCTGTGTCTGGAATTAGAAACGCATACTACACTGCATCCTCCCATCTGGATGTTAGTCTCCATTTCACAGCTACTGAACATCCCCTGAAATGGAAAGTCATTATACAAAATCAACAATAGAAAGAAAAATAGAAGTTTACAATGCCATGACGTTAAATAATATGCTACTGAATGACTAATGTGTCACTGAGGAAATGAAAAAATCAAGAATGTGTTTGAAGAAAATAATGCTACTGTTTGATATAGAAGTGATTGAAGAACTAAATCAGAGGAAAGTGTTTTGAAGAGATGAAACGAACAGAAAGCAATCAAAATCCATGAGATACAGTTTCCACTGATCTTTGTTGGTGAGATATGTTTCCTGTAGGCAGCAAATTAGATGGGTTTTGGTTTTCAATCCAGTCTACTAATTTATGACATTTGATTGATGAATTTAAGCCATTTACATTCAGGGTAATTTGGTTCTGTCCTTTTAGCAGTGGGTTGTTCATTGATTTAGTCTTCTCTTGTTATTTTACTGGGATGTTTTTCACATTTGCCTTTGGTTTTGGTGGGTGCTATTCCGCTTCTCTGTCAAGAGAACATCTTGAAGTATGCTTTGAAGGGCAGGTTTGGAAGACGCATATTCTTTGAGCTTTTCTTTACTGTGGAAGAATTTTATTTCATTTTCAAAGACAAAGGAAAATTTTGCTGGGTACGTTATTATGGGCCAACAATTTTTTGCTTTTAGGAACTGGAATATGTCACTCCATTCTCTTCTGGCCTGTAGAGTTTCCGTGAGAGATCTCCTGTGAGTTTAATTGGCATTCCTTTATATGTCAGTTGATTTTTTCACTTGCACATGTAAGGATCTTTTCCATATGCTGGATTGAAGAGTACTTGATTATCACGTGTCGTGTGAAGATTGGTTTTGGTCAACACTGTTGGGAGTTCTGTGACCCTTGTGCATGTTGTTTCCCAATTTTTTTCTCCAGATGAGGGAAATTTTCCCTTATTATTTCATTACATACATTCTTAAACCCTGCTTCTCTTTCTGCATGTTCTGGGACTCCCATAATTCTTATATTTCACCTTTCAATAGTGTCTTTCAATTCTTGAATACTTTTTTTGGCCTGATCCAGCTCTGCTTCCAGCTTTTTGTTTGTTTCGCCCTGGTGACAGGAAATATCTTCTAATTTTGACATGCTTTCTTCTGCCTCCTTCATTCTTTTTTTTTTTTTTTTTTTGGAGACTCTCCACTGTACTTTTAGTTTGCTCTACTGTATTCTTCATTTCTGTATTCTTCATTTCAGCTTTCATTTGATTCATTTGATTCCAGTGTGACATATTGCTTAAATTCCTTGAATGCCTGCTTTATGTGCTTCTTATTGTTGATAAGTTTTATAACGTGTATTTTGAATTCTGTATCTCCATTTCCTCAATGTCTTCCTTAGTTAGCCCTGTGGTGGCAAAGGGTTTTGCTCCTTTGCAGGGGAGTCTTCAGTAATATTCATTGTGCCTTTATCTCTTCCTCTGCTCTTGGTCACTGTACTTCTGGTTAGCAGATTCTTCTCCTAGGAGCAGGTTTCTATGCTCTGTTACCCACAGTTCTAGAGTTTGATTTTACTTATTGCAATTGGCACATGGCTCTTTGTTTGCAGTCACTTGTGCCACACCCCCAGAGAGTTCCAGGTCTGGGTTTTTAAGTAGGATTCCCACCATGATCTCCATAACCCCAGCTCCTGGCTCACCACTTTCCACCTCCTGTGATACTGTGCTGAGGCTACACTGTTGTCTCTATAACCTTTCTCCCAATTCTGGTTTGAGTAAGTCCCAGGATTAGGGAGACACCAGGTGTCCTATATAGCTAGGTCGCTGGTGGTGCTGATCTTGCCAGAAGCTGTTGGCCGTTAGGTATGAGGGCCACACAGACCTCTTTTGACCCATACAGTGCCATATTTGGTATTATTTTCCTGTGGGACCAATGCAATGCCCTGAACTCAGTGAGTTCTCTCCAAGCTCAGCACATGCACAGCTTCATGTCGTCCCTTGCAGTCTTAAATTCTTTGCCACACCATACAAAATGGCACCTATGTGCCACTACTAGAGTTTTTGATCTGCTGGCCATCAGGTCTGAGGGCTACCTGGACCTATCTTGGGTGGAACCTGTAGGGTGCCACATTATTGCAGTTCATTGAGTCAGAAATGAGTTCACTCCCAGCTCTGTGCATGCAGTCTTGCCCTATAGCCCTTGCCTCCTTATACAAAATGGTGCTTGGTATGGCTCTAGGGGGCGGACTGGGTTATGAAATCCACACTGTTCCCATACTGCCTATCTGGGACCTGCTGCTGTGTCTCTGCTCCTGATCAAAGCAAACAGACGAGCAGGATGGGCAGTTCTTTGGGTTAACCTCCTGCGCTCCCAGTGAAAATCCCTTCCCATCTGGTTGCTGGTGGAGTTCCTGCTGCTGGTGCAATTCAGATCGCCGTTTGCTAAATGCTGCTGGAGTATCAGTCACTGCTACACCACATTTTGTGTCCACTATTTTCCTGTGTCTGTCAGGCTTCAGATACCCCTCTGTTGTTGTTCTGTCCTCCCCTAGTTCCTGGAATGTTTCCTCTCTGCTTCACATTGGCTAATATTTCTCTGTCTGTTTATACATGTCCTTATCCTATTCCACCATCTTGATTCTTAGCTATAAGTTCTAACCAGTATAATGGCAACAGATGTGTATATGTGAATGTGTGTGTATAAGATAAATTAGCAAGTGTGAGTTTGACAGATTTTTTCTTCAAATAAAATAATTATTTCTCTAACATGGTTGAGATGATTTCTTAGATATTTATTTTGATCTGCTTTTTTTGACAAATTACTTAAATTTAACATTCTTTTTCTTCATATTGTAACGCTAATGGGTTGTAATGAAAGCAGACTAAAACAAATTTTTAATGTAGGCATTAACTCACTTTTGACTATAATGATGTGTCAGGTAGGAATGTATTGTTTCAAAACACAGTAATATTAAAGAATAAACAGAATTTCTGCATCTTTTCAAATTCTTAAGGTCTGATAATCTATGAATTACATCTGCATTTTCACTTTTTTTACATTCCCTTCAGATAATGTCATTCAGAAATGACATCTTACTCTGAGACCTCATTATTCTACAATTTTACTTCCGCTACTCTTTTCAGATAATGTTGATATTGTTTCAGACTTTAATTAGCATTTTTTGATGAGGACTGGGTATTTTGGATATGTGGGGCGGGGATAGTTGGATGACTGCAATCAAAGATAGATTGTATGATAGAAACTGATATGTCATTTTATCACCACCTAGTGGCTAAAATATTTGTGGAAAATTTCCTTTTTTCTAAGACTTAAGCCCTAATAAAAAAAAAATACAACAAAAAACAAACAAACAAACAATCCATGACACATCACATTCTATTTATTAGCGCTTGGTGAATTGTCATAATGTATTTTGGGCAGATGATTACCTTGTCCACCATCAATTGAATATGTATTTTGAATATTTGTAATACAGTAGGGAACATTCAGGAATCATTTGGTCATTCCTTTCTATTATTATTATTATTTTGGATAAAGAGCAATAGAATTGAGATCAGAAGACTGGGGTTCAAATCTGTGAAGATTCTGGGCTGGTTCTCATCTTGCTCATATTAGCAATTACTCAGTAATCTTATTTGTAAGAAGAACATACAGGAAATGTCTTTCAACATTGCTTTGTGACAGGTTTAACTAGCAACATAAATTCTAGAGGTTTCTTCATTTATAAGATTATTGCTACTATTTTCATGACAAGCACAATCAAGAAACTTACCTTCTTCACATGGTGTCCTCAGTTGTTACTTCTACTTAGCTGTAGTCTGAATTCTGCCCTCTCTGTTCAACCAAAGTGATTCACCAAGTCAGCACTGGGCCTTAGTGTCGAGTTAGGGCACTTTCTTTTGTCCTAATATAATGCAAATTCTCTGCAAAGTTTCATTCAGTAGACTAATTTTACTTCCTTGAAATACTCCTTGCTTTTCTTGTCATTATACGCTCCAAGAACTTTTGCTTCTCAAAGCATGTTTCGTCTACTTGGCAGGTTGAGTCTCCTCTGTTAAACCTCTGAATGAGGATATTTCAAAGAATTTGGTACTGAACATTTTGTTACCGCTACAATTCTTTTTCTTACTAAGTGACACTTTCATTCCAATAACTTCAAATGCAATATAAATTCTGATGATTTCCAAATGTCAGGTGCAGTATTTGT